AGTATTGGTCCCCTCACTACACAAAAGATGAAGAATGTGGAGCAAGTTCAGCAGAGTGCTATTGGGATGATGTATTTGGTTTGTGTGTGGCAAGCTTTTGGTAGCAGAAGAGCTACAGGAGTGGCTTCTGTGAGGAGCTGCTAGAAGCTTCCTCTGTGTCTGATAGAGTCAATGCCAGCCAGCTCCAAGACAGATGCACCGCTGGCCAAGGTCAAGCCCATCAGCAATGGTGGTAGCACCTCTGCAATAACATATTTAAGAAGGGGAAAAAAACTGCTGTGCAATAGCTGCCAGAAGAGAGGATTGAGGATATGTGAGGGCAGCAACTCTGAAGACACCAATGTCAGTGAAGTAGGAGGGAGAAGAGATGCTCCAGGCGCTGGAGCAGAGATTCTCCTGCAGCCCATGGTGAAGTCTGTGGTGAGGCAGGATGTTCCCCTGCAGCCCACGAAGGTTAATGGTGGAGCAGAGATCCAGCTACAGCCCATGGAGGACACCATGCTGGAGCAGGTGAATGTGCCCAAAGAAAGCTGTGACCCTGTGGAAAGCCTGCACTGGAGCAGGCTCCTGGCAGGATCTTTGGACTGGCCCAGGTTGCCCAGGGAAGCTGTGGATGCCCCCTCCCTGGCAGTGTTCAAGGCCAGGTTGGACGGGGCTTGGAGCAGCCTGGGCTGGTTTTGGGTGTCCCTGCCCATGGCAGGGGTTGGACTGGAGGAGCTTTAAGGTCCCTTCCAACCCAAACCATTCTGTGATTCTGTGATTCAATGACTCGTGACCCTGTGGGGGACCCACACTGGAGTAGTCTGATACTGACGGACTGCACCCTGTGGAAAGGCCCAATGCTGGAGCAGTTCATGGAGAACTGCAGCACTTGGAAAGGACCAACGTTGGAGAATCTTGTGGAGGACTGTCTTATCTAGGAGGGACCCCATACTGGAGCAGGAGAAGAGCTTGAGGAGGAAGGGGTGGCAGAGACAATGTATGATGAACTGACCACAACCCCCATGCCCCATTCCCCTGTGCTGCTTGTGGGAAGGAGGTAGAGAAATCAGGGATGAAGTTGAATCTGGTAAGAAGGGAAGGGTAGGGGTAAGGTATTTTAAGATTTTGCTTTATTTCTCATTACTCCACTCTGATTTGATTGGCAATAAATTAAATTGATTTGTCTGAGTGGAGTCTGTCTTCCCTACGACATTAATTGGTGAGTGATCTCTCCTAGTCCTTATCTTGGCCCATGAATCTTCCATTATATTTTTCTATCCCCTGTCCAGCTGAGGAAGGGGACTGGAAGAGCATCTTGGTGGGCACCTGGTGTCCAGCCAGGGCCACCCACCACAGATGACTGGGGTTGGAGCACTGGTGAGGAGCAGTGCGGGGAGCTGGGCTTGTTCAGCCTGGAGAAGGGACACCTCTGGGGACAACTAACAGCAGCCCTCAGGGCTTACAAGAAGGTCATCAAGCCTGAGCTAAGCTTTTCAGACCAAGGTGTGGTAACAGGAAGAGAGACAACTGGCATATGTTGAAACAAGAGAGGGTCAAACAGATTATAACAAAAAGCAATTTCCTCATGAGATGTCAAGCAGTGGGACAGGTTTCCCAGAGAGGCTGTGCAAGCTCTGTCCTTGGAGGTTTTTGAGATTTAATTGGAAAAATTCTTGAGCAACCTGGTCTGACCCTGTAGATTATTATTGCATTAGCCTGTGGTGCTCTGTATGTGATTTCCATTTGCTCCCTTCCAAGGGAGAAGCCACCTAGCTGAGACACCCAGTGCAGTCGTATTCTCACCGCAGGCACTACCACCAGCAGTAGTAGACATTATTGCAGGCGCTACAGCCAGAATACAGTAAGGGAGCATTTTCCTCCTAGCTCTGTGTCTTCAGAGCAGAACTCTGGTCTGTTTCTTTCAGACATACCTAGATAAAACCACTGAGTTCTGTTTTTGGCTTGAGCTCTCTTGTGCTGCCTCCAGTAATTTTCCTACTGGGCACCTAAGGATTATCCTATGATGAAGCATTTTCCTATGGAAGGGTTCAGGATAATAAACTTAAAGTGCAGGTTCAGTGCCACAGAAAGCACAGACGTGCTAGTGGATTTCACAACAATCACAATGTTCAGTGTTCATATAATGCACCTTTCAAACACTTAACACATTATTAGCAATCTGTACTGAATAACAATAGTGTCATCAAACTGCAAAACGCTCATATTGCACCTACTTCTTTTACACTTCAATATTAATTCTGATTTTGCAGCATGTATTTTATTACATCTTAAATGTTAATGTACTTGGTTTGCATGTTCTTTGGGAGCTGAAAGTGCTTCACAGAAACTTATCAGAACAGATACAAAAGTGAAACAAGCCCCCCCAGCAGCTGCTGATCATTTTGGTATGATGACAAAACCTGGTAAATTTTATAGAGAAATGATGGAAAAAAAATAAAGATCAAGAAAGGATTCACTACTGAGAAGAAAAAAAAAAGAGAAAGTGTTCAAGTATATAATCAATAAAGAAGCAGAAGTAGGACCATATAAATGACAAGGGTAATATTGTGTTGATGTACTGCCAAAAGAAAGCAATGAATTCTTTCACTCACTTTTCACTGAGGAACATGAAGTAAAGGCCATGGAGTGACAGATACTTCACAAAGTAGAAGAAAAAAAGTATTACAGGCAAACAAGTTATAAAGAAATCAGAGTGTGTTGTTGGAGCGAACCAGAAAACATGACTGTAATCTGTATGAATATCAGAAATAGAATTTGATCTTGTAAACTTGTCTCCACTTTAGTTCTTAAGGTATACAGACAGGCAGCTGACTTGGATTTTCTTATCCAACATGGAAAAGTCTGGTCTGGAAGTACATGACCAGTGGAGAGCAATATTATGTTGTGGGTTTTTTGCTTATTTTAAATGCAGTGATAAAAGGAGATGACATTAAGAAAAGAACTGGTCCACACTGAAAGGAAAGCAGTGTAAAGATGAGACATCAAACACACTAAGAATGACTTAGGTTCATTTTCAGAGGTCAGATTCAGGAGTATAAACTTGTCACAGTGAAGAAACATCCATACCTGACTGCAATGAATCACAGGTTCAAGACTGAGAAGAGATCACAGAATCACAGAATGGTTTGGGTTGGAAGGGACCTTAAAGCTCCCCCAGCCCAATCTTCTATGGGCAGGGACACCCAAAACCAGCCCAGGCTGCTCCAAGCCCCATCCAACCTGGCCTTGAACACTGTCAGGGAAGGGGCACCCACAGCTTCTCTGGGCAACCTGGGCCAGTGACTCACTACTCCATATTAAAGAATTTCTTCCCAATATCTAATCCAAGTCTACTCTCTTTCAATTTAAAACCATTACTCCTTTTTCTGCCATTACATGTCGCTGTAAAAAGTTCCTCCCCAGTTTTCCTGTAGGCCCCTTCAGGTCCTGGAAGGTTGCTCTAAGGTCTCCCTGGAGCCTTCTCTTCTCCAGGCTGAACAGCCCCAACTCTCTCAGCCTGTCCTCATAGGGGAGATGTTCCAGCCCACTTAACAGACAAATCTTATAAAAATCCGAAAAGAATTAATTCATATGTAGTGGCACATAAAACAATTCTTTTTCTAGTCCAATTAATCTTGATGAAATTACACTGGAGATGGTGAATGCAGGGGGTTTGCATATTTTTCTTTTTTTTTAATATTTATTATTTATTACTTCAAGCAATTTGGAAGAAGTTAAGAGTAAGGTAAGAAAAATTTACAGATGACAAAAAAACTGTGAGAAATTGTCATCATGAAAAAAATAACTGTTGAACACAAGCAGATTTGCTACAAGGTGCAAAATAACAAAATAAGCTGCAACTTTGGCAAATATCATTATACATTTCTATAGGAAAATGAGCCAAAATTTCATTATACAACAGTGACTCGAATTCTGCTGTGCTGAGAACTTGCAGAGAAGGAAAGTCAAAGAACTTGTAAGTTCTAGTTTCACTTTGCTTTGATTTTGATAACACCATTTGATCCTTAAGCTGTTTTATCTACCCACTTGGGTTAATTAAGAAAAGCCAGTCACCAACCCAGCAGCCAAGTGCCCTTCCTGTTCTGTTCAATACTCTGTATAAAATGAACGGTCATCTTCCCATGCGACTGGAACACAGTGTCCCGAGCCAAATAAAGAAAACTTCAATTAGACACAGTTTTGCAGGCAGCAAAAAAAGGTCATGGCAACTTTTTACTGCTTAGATATCACATTAAAAAAAAGACTTACTGCAGTACTTTTTAATGGCACTTATTAAAAAAATATTTCTCTACTTGCTGAAATCTATGCAAATGCATTGATACGAATACAACGTGACAGATTAACTTCTGCTGATTCACCAAGGTCAGGATTTCCCCATTAAAAAAGAACTAAACAAACTCTGTGAGTGGGAAAGGAGTGTCTACAGGGAATGATGTATTAGCACTGAAGATATCAGGAAAAATTTGCTGAAGTGAAAGCCATCAGAAGAGTATTTTTCCTCAAGGAAAAAGATGGAAAACATATTTTTTTTGAGCATCTATATGGAACATATACATAGAGAACTCCTACATGTACTGAAATGTAGGTAGTAGTCCACTAAAAGGGGCTACACATGAGAGTTTAGTGGCATGTTTTCATATCTTTCAATTTTCTTAAAATGATCGGCGCTGTCATAACGAACAGTTGTCTACAACCTTCCTTTAAAGTTTTATGGCGCATTTTCACTTGTCACTAATATGCATAATATGTTTATTTTCTAGTTGAAGGATTGTCAAAGCAATACAACCCATTGCCTTCTTTTTGCAAAATCTTCTAATGCTTTTTAAACTGCAGTCTCAGAAATACACACAATGGGAAAATGAAGATAATGGAAATATAACTCATAGTTATTATAGAAGTTGTAATGGTTACCTCTAGTAAAATGTATGGTGAATGAAAGTCTCTGTATGAAACAATTCTTAGCTGAATAAAATGTGATTTAAATTGATCATACTTACCATAAGAAGTCTATCTCCAACCTGCAACCTCCCATCTTTCTGTGCAGCTCCTCCATCAATAATCTTGGTGACATAAATGCTGTTGTCCCCAGGGATGTGTTGGTTTCCCACCCCTCCTGCAATACTGAAACCCAGACCTGGAGAAGATATGGAAAGCAAAACATCAGCAACACAATATATAGCACTAAAAAGGAGTGCAAGAGTAGCATTTATTCAATTTACTGTACAATTACAGTATATTTTACAGAAATACAAATAACATAAGAGAAATGTACAATCATAGGCAGATAGACACAAAAAGTATTGAACCAGTGATGATTCTAAACCCATGGCTCGCACTCATCAGGGGCCAGTGCAGCCTATGCTAAGAATTCACGGCACAACTTGCCATGAATAGTTATAAAACTGTGAAGCTTAGGGTTTATTTCGTTGAATATTGGTATAAAATGCATCAGAGTCTATAAAAACAAAATTAAAGGTATTCTGCCTGTTCACAATTTGAAAAATAGTTGGAGAGGTGTACTGCAGCTTTTGCAAGTTTCTGTAGTACCACAGTGAAGGATTTATAAAAGGAAAGAGAAATGGTGTAGATATTTGGATTTAAATCTGCTTTGCATATTTTTTCTAAGACACAACTATCTTTGGCTATGGATACACAAAAAGAGCAACAGTCCTTTGTGCATATACAACTTCTGCTCAGTGATCTGTGAAATTCCTAAACAAACACTCAAAGAGCCAAACTTTGGAACAATGTCAGTAATAGATGCCAGTATGATTCAGGGAAAGGAAGGCAAAATAAACACGTTGGGGGAAGGAAAAAAAGGACAGTTTTAATGTTTTCCTACTTTTCCTATCCTCTGACACACTGCATAAACAGAAAAATCATTGCTTTCATTTATAATAACATTTTTATCCCTCAGTCAGAGAAATGACAGAAACTACTGTGCTTAATTTCCATAAAAATCTACTTCATACAGCTAATTTTTCATAGATCATCTAGCTAATGGGAACCTCCAGCTGAACAAATAAACTGTAACTAACAATAATCTGCTTAGATTATTGCTTCAACTAAGTATTTCTGGTTTAGCTGCACAGAAAATGCAGTTATACATATTTAGAGAATAATCACTACTTTTATCTATGAAATCTATGCTGTTGAGTTGTTCGTAAAACAAACAGGTTAGTAACAGCTTTGACCTGAGCAGTAAAATGCATGGTAAAAAATGAGATACCTGGAATTTGGTATTTCATAGCAAATTACCAGTCTTACTGCTAGGGCAATAAAACTGAAGGGAAGTTATAGTTAATACTCATGGGCTTTTTTAGCAGCTTTATGAGAACAGAGATAAGTTTTCCTGCATGAATGAAGTACTTTTTGCTCACATTATTTTCACTTGATCATTATTTAGCTTAATAAATATGCAAAGTTAGATAACATAATGGTCTGCTTAACGGATAACGCCAAAACAGTAAATTATGAAACCTCTGAATTTATATCTCAGATTGAAAAAGTACTTAATTAATTAAAATTATTATTAACAATCCAGATGAAGTTAATTCAGAAGTACGAGATAATTAAAATAGAGCTTTATTTAATTTCCAGCTAAAGGTGGTGATCACTGTTACTATGTATGCACTACTGCCAGGACAAGGATAAAAAGATTATGAATTCTTCAGAATTGAAGAATTTGCTCATTACCCGGGGATTAATAACAAAGAAGCAAAGATATCTTCTAAGAAAACATCAAGAATGGAAAATTTCCTTAAAACATTAGTTGTGGACAAGGAACAACGATTGAATAATGTTTACTTGTGACAAAATTCTCAAAATCATCATTTCTGACCCAAAACCCATTTGATTAGGTTACGGTATTGATCCTCCCTTTATTAACACTGTATGCTTGTAAAGGGCAAGGTAGGGCTATATAGCCATCTGCTTGTGCAAAGGGGTTCCCAATGCAATATAATGTATATATAATATATTCTATTTTCTGCTGTGCTGACTGAGATGCTGGTGCTTGCTGTTTGTTTGCATGGTTATATCCCAATCGGTGTATGAAACTGCAAAATCAGGGAACCAGAATGGGCTACCCCCATTACAAAAGTGAAGTTTATGATGATGAAAGGAGCATCTTTTTCTGCTTCTTTAGTCTCAGAAAATGAAGCTGCACTATAATGCATGGGGGTGAATTGTGTCTGCAAGCAGGGTCTGTCTTTGGGATCCAAACAACCAGTCCTGAGTATAAAAAGGTGCAAAAGAGCAGAACAAGACAGAGGGCAGAAAAGAGGGGAGAAAAGAGGGAGTGGGTGAGAGAGACAGCTGAGGGAGAGTTTCCATAGGTTTCCTACTGATGATAATCTAGTTTCATTGCCCAACCATACCTGCCTGCTCTAAAAGATTTCTTCTTGGGAAGAATGGAGCAACGACCCATTTAATTTCACTTCAATGACTTTTGCTAATTGCTAGGGCACCAATAAACTATGCTACAATCAAATTTTTCGGTAGGATTCATACGGCCAAGTGACATCAGGCAACTATGCTAATCATTTATGCTACCTGCATGATCAATTAAAATTAATTAAAGGCTTTTAAAGCATGATTCATTTCATCTCACACAGACATCTGAAAGAGAGGAGATGAATCACATTCTTGGGATCTGAAAGGCTGGGGGCTGGATGTGGGAAGAGGTGGGTGGAAGGATCAGTATTATCAAAATTCACAACCTGAGCTAAAGTCTAACCTCCATTTAGACCAAAGATTTCTGTTTCGTTTTAAGACCTTGAGATGCCTCCAGGGTGTGGGTCTCTCTTGTCACTAGCTATATCAGGTTACTCTCATACCAGATTCTTACTCTATTTTAAAAACAGAATCATTCAAACATTTGGGAACACAGGGAGCGAAATATGTTTTCTAAACTCGATTCTCTTCATTGCTCCATTGACTTAAAAAAAACCCAACAAAAAAAATAGCATATTTAATGAATCTTTTTGTTATTGATTCCTTTAGTTAGGAGGGTTTTGTCATCAGAACACAGAAGACTGCAAGTCACTTTGAGGAATGTCCTTCATTTCACTTCCTATTTTGCTCATGTCCAATCACCTTCACAGCCACATGTCAGCATGGACAGAGAGTCCAATTTCATATAATCTTAGAATTGTTAAGCTCAGAAAAGATCTTTAAGATCATCAAGTCCAACCATCAATCAAACACCACCATGCCCACTAAACCATGTCCTGAAGTGCCACATCTGCACTTTTTTAGCTTCTCCAAGGGTGGTGACTCTATAGCTTCCCTGGGCAGCCTGCCTCAACACTTGACCACTCTTTCAGAAAATACTTTTTTCCTAATATCCAACCTAACCCTCTCCTGGCGCAACCTGAGGCCATTTCCTCTTATCCTATTGCTATTCTTACTTGGGAGAAGCGACCCACACCCACCTCTCTAAAACCTTCTTTCAGGTAGTTGTAGAGAGCAACAAGGTCTCCCCTTAGCCTCCTCTTCTCCAGACTAAACAACCCCAGGTCCCTCAGCCATTCTCTATCATTCGTGTGCTCAGACCCCTCCCCAGCTCTGTTGCCCTTCTCTGGCCATGCTCCAGCCCCTCAGTGTCCTTCTGGGAGTGAGAGGCCCAAAACTGAACACAAGATTCGAGGGGCGGCCTCACCAGTGCCCAGCACAGGGGAAGGATCCCTGCCCTGCTCCTGCTGTCCACACCAGTGCTGGTACAAGCCAGGATGGTGTTGGCCTTCTTGGCCACCTGGGCACTCTTCTGGTTCATGTTCAGTCACTGCCAACCAACATCCCCAGGTCCTTCTCCTCCAGGTGCTCTCCAGCCACTCCTTCCCACACCTGTAGCGACCACGGGGTTGTTGTGACCCAAGGGCAGGACCCAGCACTTGGCCTTATTGAAGCTCATCCAATTGGCCTCAGCCCATTGATTCAGCCTATCCAGGTCCCTCTGCAGAGCCTTCCTACCCTCAGGCAGATCAACACTCCTGCCCAACTTAGTGTCACCTGCAAACTTGCTGAGGGAGCACTCAATCCCCTCATCCACATAATTGATAAAGATGTTAAACTGGACTGGCCCCGAAACTGAGCCCTGGGGAACATCGCTTGTGACCCACTGCCAACTGGATTTAATTCCATTCACCACATCTCTGTGTACAAACAATTCCTAATTGCTGGATTCTTGGATTTAACACTGACAAAGTGACCTGTTGAATGCAGAGTAACTTAGTGAAGCCACAAAATGCTCATAATAGAAATGTTAGGCTAGAAACACAAGAAATATGAATGGAAATAGGCATGTAAGCCTAGAAGAAAGACCAACATTAAAGAAATTATATGTATTAACAACACAGAACATTTGCAGGAATAAAACTAAAAATGAGTCACTTCTGTCAAGCCTGGACAGAACGTCTGGACTCTGTGAGTACCACAGCACAGGTGTCTGGTCAGCAGAAGACCCTATACCATAACAGTGGGATGCTGGCAGCAACGTTACAGCATGTGACATATGCCGTTCTCTTGCCTGCAAGCACAATAGGAAAGCAGATCATAACAAAAATAACCCACGTGTGTTTCTTAAATGAAGAGAAACAGGCAATAAGCAATAATCATTTGCCTTGTCAAAGACTCAGAAACAGAAGAAAGAAATATTCAAAGTAAAGGACCACCCCATAACAGTGGACTCCTAGAGGGTATAAAACTAGTTCAAAAAACTAGTCCATAGGTTTCAAACAAGAAAATGCCAAGACATGTGGAAAGGATTTGATGTACCATGTCCTTTGTGTGAGGATTGAGCCAGGCCACCTCAGCACATGCATCATGGGGCTTCTGAGGATTTGTATGAAATGAAGAGTGAACAAAATATATGAGAGAATGGCCATATATGGGTAACTTATTTGGGATTTCATGAACAAATATCACCCTCCTTTCCTGTATGATATCCCATTGCATTTTGCCACCATCATTTTCTACTGGTGTGTTACCAACTGATTTGTTCCAGACCACTGCATGAACTCAGATTTTATGAAAATGTTTCAGGCAGCAAAACAAGAAAATACAACCCAAAAGTCCCCAGGCAACAACTTGCCTGTCTGAGGACCCTCCCTGGCACTGCAAGCCTGGCTGTGC